AGATGAAGTCTTTCCTTTTTAGAGTATTTGATTTTCTTTATAAAAAAAAAAAATCCCCATTACTAAAGGAGTACTAACCCTTCATCTTTAGAGTATTAAACCTTTTTTGCCCCACTAACCCATAACTATTAATGCTAAATTAGTCCTAAACACTAATATGGTATTACAAATTGAGTTTGATTATTTCCATCAAAAAAAGTTTCTAGTCGGGTTATGCAATCTCGATTTCTCTATTGTTCATCAATTCCATGGGCTCCAACCTTCTCCTTTATTTTAATCTATTTTTGAGGTTTATTAAATGGATTGGACTCCAGGATTTTAACTGGACTTTAAATCTTTATTGTAATCTGTTTTTGAGGTTTATTAAATGGATTGGACTCCAGGGTTTTAACTGGACTTTAAATCTTAATGTTTCTGTTATTAAATTAAATTTTATAATTGAGTAAAACTCCAAGAAATCTTAAGTCTTTTCAATCATTCTTAACTTTATATATTATCTTTTTATTTATTATATATTCAAAATTGTGGGATTGAGGAAACTAAAGAGATAAAGACTTGTTTGTTTGCTGGAAAATATTTTTTTTTGAAAAGTAAATTCTAGAAAAGTGAATTATTTTTCAATGTTTAGAACTATAATGAAAAATAAGTTAGAAAACACTTTCTAGTATATTGTTATGTCATGAAAAATAAGATGAAAAATAACTTATTAATATTTTATTTTTTGAGGTTTATTAAAATAATTATGAACAAATCTTACAAATTAAAAGGTTGAATGAGAATGAAATTGAAAAAAATATATAATTTCATAAATTATTTTAAATAAAATAAATAATAATCAAATAATAGAGATCAAATCTAAAAAAATAAAATAATAATAATAATTAATATTTTATAAATTATTTGAAATAAAATAAGTAACAATCAAAAGAATGAGGATCAAATTTGATAAATAAAGAATTTTAATTCAAAAATGATAAGGAAAAGGCAAGTAACAATTATAAAAATGAGGATCAAAATTAATATGGATTAAATTTGATATAATCAATAAATAATATGACATTTCTAAATTTTTCACAGCTTCCAGAAAGTGTTTTTCACCTAATAAAATAAAAGAAAAACATTTTCGTAGAAACCAAGCTAAATTTTTTTTTATTGGAAAATATTTTTCGTTGACCAACTTTTCTAATGACAAACAAAGACAGGTAAGTTTAAAAAATAAATATCTAAAAATCACTTTTCGATAAATAAATACACTCAAAAGTGGCTCAAGAATGAACCAATCAAGTTTAATTATTTTGCTCTTAAAGTTCCTCCCTCTCAAACTATTTTACTTTCCTGTGCATATAATTTTTTTTTATTAAATCTTTCAAATTATTAAAAAAAATCAAGACTGGTCTGATAAGCCTCCCAAAGAATAGAAAAGTTTACTACATGGATTATGAGTATCCAATTCAATAATAACTAGCTTTGGTGTGCACATTTCACCACAAGACTATCTTGTTTTCTAAAAAATAATGTTTAGATGTCAAAATAGAGTAAAAAATATTGTGTGTGTGTGTGTCTATATATATATATATATATAAAGTATGTCAAATCTATAATCTGGTAATTAGGATTAAGTCAGCTTGAGACATTTCATTATATTTCCAGTTCAGATAATAATATTGAAATAATCTGTTAAAAAATAAAGAGAATTATAGAGATATTTTTCTTTTTTTAAAAAAACTTACATTAACTTTGATCAGGGTTATCAAACAAAAAACACTCAATTTAGACAAATCATGAAGTTTAATTTTCAATTAATCATTTATTGAAGGATGAAATTGAAAAAAAATTAAATATATAAAAACATTAAAAAAATATATAGCAATTAAAAGAATGATAATTAAAATTAAAATACAAAATAAATCTTATGTTTGATTGAAGGATGAAATTAAAAAAATATATATAAAAAAAATTAAAAAAAATATATAGCAAAATTAAAAGAATGATGATTAAAATTAAAATAAAAAATAAATTTTATGTCAACTTGAGATATCTCATCGTATTTCCAGTTCAGATAATAATATTGAAATAACTTCCTAAAAAATAAAAAAAGTTATAGAGATATTTTTCTTTAAAAAAAAACTTATGTCAACTTTGATCAGGATTATCAAACCAGAAGCACTCAATTTAGAAAAACCATAAAGTTTAATTTTTAATTAATCATATATTGAAGGATGAAATTGAAAAAAAAATAAAAACATTAAATATATATATATATAACAATTAAAAGAATTATGATTAAAATTAAAATAAAAAATAAATCTTATGTTTGATTGAAGGATGAAATTAAAAAAAGAATTTTAAATATATAAAAACATTAAAAAAAATATATAGCAATTAAAAAAATAATGATTAAAATTAAAATACAAAATAAATCTTATATCAACTTGAGATATCTCATCGTATTTCCAGTTCAGATAATAATATTGAAATAACTTCCTAAAAAATAAAAAAACAAAGAAAATTATAGAGATATTTTTCTTTAAAAAACAACTTATGTTAACTTTGATTGGGGTTATCAAACCAGAAGCACTCAATTTAGACAAATCATGAAATTTAATTTTCAATTAATCATATATTGAAGAATGAAATTAATATATATATATATACACACACACACACACACACATTAAAAAATATATAGCAATTAAAAGAATGATGATTAAAATTAAAATACAATATAAATCTTATGTTTGATTGAAGGATGAAATTAAAAAAAAATTAAATATATAAAAAATTTAAAAAAAATATAGTAATTAAAAGAATTATGATTGAAATTAAAATACAAAATAAATCTTATGTCAAGTTGAGATATCTCATCATATTTCCAGTTCAGATAATAATATTGCAATAACTTGCTAAAAAATAAAAAGAATCATATATATATTTTTCTTAAAAAAAAAAACTTATGTTAACTTTGATCAGGGTTATCAAACTAGAAACACTAAATCTAGATAGACCATGAAGTTCAATTTTCAATTAATCATATATTAAAGGATGAAATTGAAAAAAAAATAAAAAAAATATTAAAAAAATATATAGCAATTAAAAGAATAATGATTAAAATTAAAATATAAAATAAATATTATGCTTGATTGAAGGATGAAATTAAAAAAATATATATAAAAACATTAAAAATATATAGCAATTAAAAGAATAATGACTAAAATTAAAATTCAAAATAAATATTATGTCAACTTGAGATATCTTATCGTATTTCTAGTTCAGATAATAATATTGAAATAACCTGCTAAAAAATAAAGAGAATTATAGAGATATTTTTCTTTTAAAAAAAAACTCATGTTAACTTTGATCAGGGTTATCAAACCAGAAGCACTCAATCTAGACAAACCATGAAGTTTAATTTTTAATTAATCATATATTTAAGGATGAAATTGAAAAAAAAAAATAATTTATAAAAATATTAAAAAATATATAGCAATTAAAAGAATGATTTTGAAATTAAAATGAAAAATAATCTTATGTTTGATTGAAGGGTGAATTTGAAAAGAAAAATCAATTTAGTAAAAGGATAAAAAATAAAAATAAAAAAGGTCAAAATTGATATAAAAATCAAAACAATGTTTTGATTGAATGGTAAAATTGAAAAGATAATAATTTTCACAAAAGAACCAAGAAGAAAATCAAAAATAAAATTAACAAGAACTGAATTGGAAAATATAGTACTATCAATTTCATTTATATGATAAAATTGAAAATTAATAAAACTTTTATAAAAGAGTCAAGGTAAAAAATTCAAAATTCAGAAAATGAGGATCAAATTGAAAAATATGATATTTGGTAAATTGGGATTGAAAGATGAAATTGAAAATAAATAAATTTTATACAAAAAAACCAAGATTAAAATTTAAAAAATCAAAAGAATAAGGAATAAAGTTGAAATACCAATAACTAAGAGTTAAGCTGTAATTTCTGGAGGAGAAGAGAAGAGAAGGAAAAAGAAAAAAAAAAAAAAGACCCACAAACAAATCAAACCATCATCAAATACATATGTCATACTGATAGGAAAAGGACATAGGTTGCATTCAATGACAAGTCAGAATTGTATTTTTAGATGTTGTGAGATGTCACGTGGGACTCCTAATGTATTACATATTCTTTTTTTAAAAAAATATCAAAGTATTTTTGAGCTAAATTTATAATTATAAAAAAGTTATTATGAAAAGACAAATAAATTTCTTGACTCCAGGTTTAAAATTCTTGATTTTAAGAATATTTTTGTTATTTTAATATGCATTTTAATTGCTTATTATTTTTTATATTTGATCAAATGCCAAATTATCTCTTAACTTAAGTTATAATAGCAAAAAAATTATTGTGAAAATATAAAAATACTTCTTGATATTATGTTTGGTTTTTTTTATTTTCAATAATATTTTAATTATTTTACTATGCAATCAATCAAGTTATAAAAATACTTTTTATCCTTATTTATGTGATAATAAAAAAATGAATCATGTGAAAACTTCAACGCCTTGAAAGTCTGTATTAAGTATTTTTTTTAGCAGAGAGTTAAAAACATCGTTACATTGTTGCAACAAACAACATTTTTTTAGTATGGGACTATAATGTTTTTCCAAGGTGTTTTGTCTCGTTCTAATATCACATGAATTACAATTATATTGTTATTATTTATCCATCTTGCCATGACTACCTGTACACGTTCTATCCCTTTCTTTTTAGTGGATGAATTAGAGCGCTTGAAAGCTTGCCATTTGATGAGGTTGCTGGAATCCTCACTAAGATCATATGGTCTGTTTGAGGCTGTGATGAGATGGAAGGTATAGAATGATGGGCACGAGCAACTGAAATACCTCCGAAAACTAGTTTTATTTATGAGCTTAAGGGACTCTTTAATGCTTAAATTAGCACTAATAATGAAGAAAAGCCTTAGAAGCCTTAGAAGATTGGGTTGTGTGTGTGTTTACAGAGAGTAAAGCTTGAAGAGAAACATGTTTCTTATGAAGAAGAAGATGATTACATGCCTTAGGGGACAGGATTGTTTATATAGCCCTAAACCCACACTCTTCCATCTTCAAGTTCAAACTAGGCTCACAAATCATTATGAAGATGATACATAACTCTTTCCATTACACATTTATTTACAAACAGCAGTGTACAGAGTCATCCACACAGTCAAGCTAATACCAATACAAATGTAAGTGGCAGTGAAACTACGAGCTGAGGAGGAAATTCACTTTAAGCTGCATCAGCAAATCCAACTGTCAGGTTCCCATAGTCAAACACTGTATGATACCGTCCCATGAAAACATCTCCCAAGATCCTGCATCCCACGAGCAAAATCATAAGATAATGTTCCGCAGTACTCACAAGCAAATTATTTGAAGAAAATCTTCATGCTGATTGGTAAAAATCATTTAACGTTATTCTTCTGGTTGCAGCCACTCACTAACACAAAACTAGGAACAGTAGAACACCAGTATCTGTACCATACAATTTCAATTGCTAGAAAATAAACCTGTTAGCTCTGCTACTTAGATGAGCGGACAGATTTTCACGCAGAGAGAGATAAAGGTGACAGCATACAATGTCATTGGTGAAGGGAAAAAATAAACTCTTTTTATTAATCAAATTGATTTGTTTGTTTTTCCTGATAGACCGGAGAAGGCAAATACTATCTCTGAAGCATTACACAGCATAATACAAGCTAGAAGCTAGCGCCTGAACAGACCGATAGAAGTCCACCTAACAAGATCAAACCCAGAGAAAAACTATAACAGCGTTGTTTAGGTTGGTTGGAAGGGTTCATTGCCATTTTTTCAATAATGCTAAATAGGAATTTGAGAAAGAGTTTCTGTAATTCTGATGATGCTTCCCTTCCCTGGATGCCCATGGTTGATTCATGTTGAAAGGGACTAACATACAACCAGGAAGAGATCTCGCGCGCGCGCGAGAGAGAGAGAGAGAGAGAGAATTTATGGAAGGAAAGCTTGAAACCCTTACAATCAAAGACTATATTTGATATCTATAATATATTAGTCGGGTTTCTTTTATGTTTTTCCAATGACTACGTGCCATATGAGATTTTATTTTAGCCAACACTAGATGGAGTTTGAGGGCCAATTTCTGAGATTCTGTAGATTTAAGAGTATATCAGAACCAGTAGCCACTGCATGTCACCAATCTAGTGTTTAATATGAATTTGTAAGATTATATAAGAAACAATAGGAGAGATAAATACCATAGAGGTCCACGAGGAGGAGGAACATCTAAAGCAGTAAATCCACTGATGCATTGAGCTGAAACTCCTTCTCCCACTTTAAGTACATACTGTTGATCCACAGCACCACCATTCAGAGTGTTTCCAGAAAAACAAAACCACAATACCATAGTAAAAAAAAGCTAAAAAAGAAAACATTGGCACTATACACAGAGGACAGGTAAAATATGCTTAGTGTAGACAGAGTTGATTAGTTTATCAAAACAACCACACATCCACTCTAGGGAACATATCTAGAGTCAGCAGTTTAACTTGTTGAGTTTTATAAATTGATTTGCAAGAGAATTGCTGCCCCTTCACTCTTTCTCTTTTGATGTGAATATCTACCATCACCCATTCCTATGCCAGCTCTGTCATTGATTAATCTCATGGTTGTAATTTGACACAGAGCCACATAATTAGCCATAAAATGTGTATTTAGCTGCGTGGTGGCATCTGTTTGTTGCTGCCACCATAGAAGTGCCTCAGGGTACCAGCAACAACACATTTAGGATAAAACACATAGATATGCCCTGATATACATACACAGGGGAAAGTCCCACTGAAAGTCTGTACCATTCAAGGGATAATAAATCCAGAAATGTTACAGATAGAGATCATATTTGCATATGAAAAAGGACATGACAGAATATTTCCACGAGGTAGATTGACAGACATTTCAATGGAGAGGAGTGCAACAAAATTAAATTTCAATAGACAGGTCAACCCTGGCAATTAACCGACTACCTTCAAGCTTAATTAAGTTAAATGAAATGAAATATGAAAATTTTTTAATACAATAGCTGGAGCATAATAAATATACTGAACAAAATTGCCATACCTGCTCAGGTGACAGTTCAAATAATTTACCACCAATTTCAAATGAGACACTGGACATGGAGGATAGACTACTACATTCAACTGCTGATTCTCCATTTGGACTGGGCAAGCGGTCACAGAGCTGCAATCGCAATTGTTGGCATGAGTTGTCACAAGGACAATTCTTCCACAGAACTAAAAGAAGATGAAGCAAACTTACATCATTCACGTAATCCAGAATCTGATCTTTAGTGTCATTAAGCCTGAGCCGATTCTCCATCCATACAACAATCATCTCACAAGCAGTACACATGGCATCATGCAGACCATCTGATGATTTGTCTGAGCTTTCTTCTACTACACTCTCAATGTTCATACTGAAACCATAGAGTTGACTTAATTAATGATTTCATTGGTGCAGCAGAAGTGTCCTATCTAATAACTACATATATAGCATGTTAATCATATTAACAACAACAATGAGTTGAACCTGACCTGACACCCTGAGTCCCATCAAAAGTACAGAAGCTAATTTGAGAGCACACCTTTCGTGGTTGAGCCTACAAAATAGAAAGGTACAGAAGCCACTTCATTAAAATGATTTTCAAAATAAAGTTAGCCAGCCTAATAATAGAACAAAAATTTCCATTCTGCACTACCATAAGATGGAAGGACATGCTATCAGAATGCAAGAAAAACTAAGAATCTATAATGCTCACCTGAGCCACCAGCATTTCCAGTATAATTTTCCCATATTGTGCAACCACCGTCTTGCATTCTTCACTTACAATGCCAGAGGCTCCAATCGCATTATTAATTTGAGTGATCACAGTCTGAAAATGTGAAATGACAGGGTAAAATCAAATAAAAGATCTTCCCAAGTCAACGATAACATAATTGCAAAACCAACTGAAGCTAAGCCATGTCCAACCAACAGATGATATAATTATATCACTAAGTGACATCTTTTTTCATTGCACTTGCATGGTCAAACACTTTTAGAAGTGATAACTACTATCCCTCTGAAACACACATGTATCAAAATCCAAGGACAAGAAAGTGGGAAAAAAAAAAACCACCATATTCCCTGGCAAAATGAAGCAGTAATAATTCACTCTGAATTTCTGAATTGTGTAGAGCATCATGCGCTCAATTCAAATGACAGCAAAGTGACTAGAAAACCAAACACATTCTTGGAGAATTTATTGCAGCCTCATCACCACATTGGTTTATAGAGAAAACAAATAGATCACAGACTTCAAATTTGAAAATAAAAATAAATATGAAACCCGTCTTGGGACACACTTCAGAAGATAAGGCTGTTAAACATGATAGATGGCTTTCTGAAACTGGTAGATGAGCTATGCCAAGCCAATGGTAGAGCGAAGATATCATAAGAGTATCATAATGAAGTATTCCACATGATTTGTAGCCTGCATCCATATAACATTAAAAGTTGCGCTCCTTGACAGTGCAGAAACATAGGGTCATCTTTTTTGTATTGTTCCATGGCTTTTGGTAGCATAAGGAATAGCCCTTTTCATACGTGATAATAGATGTGGATTGATGCCCTTTGCATTTTTGGAAGGGATAAGGATTTCAAGACTCTTCAAAAGTGCACTATGTTAGTGGTGATATAGAGTTTGTGAATCAAAGACTCTTCATAAGCGCACTATGTTAGTGGTGATATGAAGTTTGGGAAAGGAGAAAAATTCTAGAATATCAAGATCAATTTCCCTCCGGGAATTACCATAGGATAGAATACTTTTCAAGCATCTTTACTATGTTTTACTGTGGGAGTATATATGGAATAGCATCTTTACAATGTTCTGCATTGAGAGTTCTTCTGTTTCAAGTTTTGTTGTTGAGAAGGATGTTTCAGTCTCCCTGCATAATATTCTATCATTTCTTCAATTTTTCTTTTTTATCAAGAAAAATGTTAAGAGATTCAAACACGCAAACAATGATATTTCAAATAATGTAATAATCCAATCTTGTAATGCAATAATAACTCATCCGCTTTCACATTTGACATTTTACCACTCCAAATAGTGGTCATGTACTAAGTCATTTATAAAAGACAAAAACGCATTGAACCGCATTTGCAGCAATGTGCAACTAAGCATGTTATGTAGGAGTTCACTAGGGAAAATAAGGACATATAGCTGCCAAAATTACGTACTGTTGGACCCGCCAGCAAAGAGGTTCCAGAATCAGCAATTGCTTTACACCCACCAGCACACAATCCTGAAAGCAAAATTCATATCTCTCAATACCATAAAACATACATATACACCAAAACTGTCAAGAAGTTAATGTCCCCAGAGTCTAGATGATAAGCATGAGCAGTAAGCTTTGTATAATTACCAGTTGTTTCAGTGCCAATCAACAAGTCTCCCATATCAAACTGCGAATTAGGGAAACAGGTAACAGAACAGAAAAACAAGAGATTATAAATAGGCAAGGAAAATTGCCCAAATAATAAAAATATTATGGAATCTAACCTGCCAATACCCCTTATGAGTCACAGGAACATATGTGTGCTCACCCTTGTAATGATTAGGATCCACCCCACCAAACACAATTTCTCCCCCTTCTTCCCCTTCAACATTGCGGTTCAACCAAAATGAAAAAACTTTTTCCTTAACAAGACCTTGATTAACCATATTGTACCTACAAGGATTGCATAATAGTAATAATAATTACTAATAGAAATGATAACAAGGAACTGCAAAAATAATATAAAAATTCTTAAACTAAAAGAAAACAATCTACTCACCAAACTGGAACAGCATTTCCAACTGAGATTTCTTGAAACCCAAGTCCAAGTATACCATCAAACTTGGAAGCCAAAAATGTGACACCTGGTTCTTTTGTTGCCTCGATAAAATCCTAATGACAGTAGCACAGATTAAGAACACCAGCAACAATAATTAACTGAAACAATTTAAAAAGCACTATCGTTTACCTGATTCTTAACAACAAGATCACCAACTTCAACACTGTCCTGGCTAAAGAAACCAGAAATTGAACCAGTTCCATATTGAATTGCAGCAGAGGTGCCTGCGTCAATGAAAAAATCTCAAGAAAAACATTGCAACCTTTGAAGCAGTAAGTTCCTAGAACAAAGGGAAAATGATCATACCATTCTTGACGTAGGTTGTTGACGCACTGGACTTATACTTGGAATGGAAATAGCAAGCAAGCTGCACCCAGATGACAGCAAACTATTAAAGTAACAAAAGGCAACAACTTGAAGGAAGTGTGAGTTTGGTAATGCTGTTGAAATTCAAAGTGATTTTTTTATCTGAAAAGCATCAAATCATCGAAAACTTTTCGATGGTTTTTACATCCTCGTATCAAAATCATCAAAAATCACCTAAAAACACTTAAAAAAAAAACCCAACCACGATAATGCCAAAAGAGTCTCTAAGGAAGCAAGGGACCAACCGAGAAATAACATTTTGACGAGGGCACCCAAAGATTAGAGCTTCCTGTATCAAATATAACAGTGAAAGTTTGAGGAGGTGTGCCAATAGCAATTTCACCATAATACTGAGCATCCAAGTAGTTTTTTAGTGCAACAATATCGGCTTCGGTTTCCCCGAGATTGTAATACTTTTTGGTAGCTGCAGGTTTGGAAGCTCCTCCTCCCTCTTCCTTGGGAATGAAGTTGACTGGTCCAGGTACAACCCGACGACCGAGTTGATCCAACTTCTTCTTCTTTAGTCCAATTCTCATCAGCCCATCATCGCGTGCGGACAGAACCACCGGGAACGAAAGGAGAAGAGCGATCCAAATGGCAGTGAACTGAGTACCCATAGCTGAGTCGAGACTATGAACCAGAGGTGAGGGAGAAGCCGAGGAAATTAAAAATTGCTAGGAAATTGAGGGCAAGCGGAGAGAGAATTTATAGTATAAAACTATAGGTTCCCCTCGTCGATTGGTCAATGTTACACTTCTATCCTCATAGTTTATTATTTTCAATGTTACCCGTGTATTTAAGAAAATAATAATTTTTACAACATATTATTAAAGGGCTAAAAATATCTGATTTTTTTATTATTATTTTCTCTCTTTTTTTTATATTGCAAGAACAACTCACAAACCAAATTTAAAAAAAAAGTTATTTAATGAAAAGAGGTATCCTCGCCCTCTAGCATTATAACCATGCTCTCACTGTTTTTATTTTTTGTTAAATTGGTCTAAGCTTCATTGAATTTTAGGTCACTTGCAACTTAGTCCCTACTACTAGATGCTAGATAATTGCTTCATGGTATATTGCTGGTAGAATTAATGTTTTTAAACATGGAAACAAAATGTTTAGATATTACTAATTACTAATATTTTTTTAATGACTAAGTCAATCAAGTAATGAAATATAAAATTAAAAAAAATTAATTAAAAAATAAAAACTTGAGTGAAGCAAGATTAGATTTGATAATATCTATATTTTATTTGGTATTTATTAAATAAGATAATTATTTTAAAAAACTCATAAAAATAGTATTCATTTAAATTCAGATTAAATTGCAATCTCTATATAGTTATATAGGAGAGTTTATCACCTCCCTATTATTGGTTAGGTTAACATGTGATCGGCACTTTTGGGAATTAAAAGGGTAATGTTAGGACATTTCAAACTATAGGGGGTATATATGAAAGGTTTATAAATATGTAGTAGCAAAATATAAGTTTGCCCTAAATATTAACAAAAGTGAGGGAGCGAGGTTTGGAGTGTCTCTCGAGCAAGTCGTTGGATCGTTGATTGGGGAAGGGGACATTTAAATCCAACGGTAGTGAAGTTTTCTCACTTTTTAGTCCAAGGGGTGGAAATTGTCGACGGCAAGGCAAACAGTTGAGGCTGAATGGTTGGATCCGACAAGACGTTTCTACCGGTCTTTCCCTAGCTACCAATCCACCTTTGAAAGTGAGTTGATCCAAGTAGTTAGGACATGGAATATGAGTTGCCTCCACCAAACCAGGACGGAATGGAACAGACAAGAACCCATCTCTTGGCTAGTCCTTGGGATCTCTCTCATTTTTTGGGAAATAAAAAATTGAAACTTTATAAATGTTCACATAAAACCGTTGCAGTGCATACCATATTTATCAAACCTAATTGAGGAATTGATCTAGTGATTTATTAATTTGGAGTTTAGGTTGAATCAATTTTTTTAAATCAGATTAAATATTAATTATTCAAATTAGATGACTCGATATATTAACTCTTACCTTAATTTGACTTGATTATATCAATTTTAAAAATAAAAATTAAATTATGTTATTCTAGTTTTTTTAATCCAAAACAACTTATTTAATTAATTTGACAGATGAGTTATCTAAATCAAAACTAATAATTATAAATTGTACTTTGTTTAGTATAGTGAATGCATTTATATTCATCTTCATTGAAATAAGGTTTAAGTACTAATAAAAGTATTTTGTATTAAAATTCTATAATAAAAAAGAATTGTATCTAATTTTAACAAGTCAAGACCTACAAGGCTCTCTATTACAAAAAAAAAAAGAATTTGCAAACATCATGATAACAAATAAAATTTTTATATGATAAAAGATCTAATTAGAGTTATGTCAATCATAATAAAATAAATTTTCAACTTAAAATTCTTCAAAATCAGGATAGAGTTTGAATTTTCATTTTGTTTACTAATATGATTTAAATATATTTTCTCTAAAACTCAAAAAAAAGGTTCCATTGAGCTTTGTTTAATGAGTACAATAATTTCAATAACAAAAAAAATAATAAATAAATGATAAGGAAGTCATGAAAATTTTAAATCACACATGGGTTTTTCATGGCTATGTCATAGGCTGGTAACTGGCCTATAAAACAAGTTTCTTATAAATAAAAAAAGACTCTTCGATACTTAGTAAATATAATAAAGGTGAAATATATGCATTAATATAGAATATGTGGCAGCTCAAATAATGGTGTATATGGAATAAAAAATTAGTAGAGTCAAGTGAAACTTATTTAAGCTTTTTACCTTATAACTTGTAGTATCTATAAAGATCTATAATAAAGGTGAAATATATGCATGAATATAGAATGTGTGGCAGCTCAAATAATGGTGTGTATGGAATAAAAAAGTAGTAGAGTCAAGTGAAACTTGTTTAAGCTTTTTACTTGATAACTTTTAATATCTATAAAGATCTCAGGTTACATTAGCTTACCTATTGGATAGGAAAAATGATAAGAAATATCTGACTTCCTAGGAAGTTCAATCATTATTTGTTGTTCCATACTTGCCATTAAAGGATAGGTTAGCGCTTGAGAGTGAGTTATTTATAGGAAGGGGTGGTCATTGATTGAAAGATTGACATGAGATAGTTTAAGTAAGGTGCTTATTGGCAAAAAGGTATGGTCATTGCATGCTAAGTGCAGAGTTCGTCAAGGTTAAGCTAGTGTTTTCTCCCATTTTCCTTCTCTTCTTCACTTTTGGTTGGATTTTAAGATAAGGGTTGGTTAGGTTGCTTATCTTTTCCTACTATATCTTCCTTTTTTGCCCTCGATTAGGCTAACTATCGTTGGTTAAGCTAAGGCTAGAGAGGTTTGGTTGGGCTTGGCCAAGGTTAGAGGAGATTCAATTAGGCTAAAAATTGGTATTAAATTTAAGAGTTATTATATAATCTGGGTTTGCCTTTTTAAGTATGTTTAAGAACCTAGAAATTTTTTATTGTTAGGAAAAAAACGACGTTATTTTTCTCTGAATGTTTAAAGCTTGTTCTTCCTCTTTCTAAATAAAACACATGGGATGATCAAAATATTCAAAGTTGAAAAATTAACAGTTTAATTTTGACTTATGAAGGTCATATTGACAAGAAAAAATCAATTTGGGAAGAAAAATTTTAAATTGAGTGTTTAAAAACTCAATTAGAATTTATCAGGGTTTAATTGTATTACTTAAGGGCCTACTTGGAAGGAAATTTTGTTTTGAGTTAAATTTGGGTTTTAATTAGAATGAATTGAAGTATGGCGAATGAATTATAATTTTAAAACACTAATTGGTCAAAATAGGTGCTTAATTGCATAAATATTGAAGTTTGATAGGCAATTAGAGATTTGGTTGAAGAAATTCAAAACTAAGAACTAAATTTTAAAAGGCATGAGATTTCAGGGATTGAAATCAGCAAAATTAAGTGTTAAATTATAGAAAATTAAAATTTTGATGGTTAATTGAAGGTTGATTTGCATAAATCAAGAACCAAATATTGAATTGGAAAAGACATTGAACTTTGAGGCTGATAATTGAGTTTGACAGTTATAAAATTGCGTGAATTTAAAAGTTAAAAGGTAATTACTAATGCAATTAAAAAATTAAAAACTAAATTAAAATTGCTAAATGTCAAATTAAAAACCCTAATCTTAGGGTTTAAAATAGACAACATTTCATTCAGTTTTAATGAAGGAATTAAGTGATATGTCATTCAACCACTGTTCATTTTTCTTTTTGGTCAATTTTGACTGATTAAGTAGGCGTCTTCAAACTAATGAATATGTCATTTTTGGCCACCCTAGAGACTTTAACAACTACCATTCAATTGAAAAACAACATCTTTTAGAAAGATCATTTACTCCCCTTAAACATTTATATCCCATTTTCTTTAATGATCTCGATAACAGTTTATCCATCATTAGCCATCATTACATTGACATGTTTTAGATTGATCAAGTTGGCACATTTAAAAGAACAAATGTGATGCTACAAACCTCCAAATCAAGCAATGTTAGATCCAAACAAAAGGTGTGCACCTCCTCTACCAATTTCACATTGTCTCTAACAATAATGATGTTAGAGCTACTCTGACAAGGCTTCGAAAGTGGTTGACTCAGTTAATCATGACTGTGATAATAATTGCATAAAAACCACTTATTTTTTTTTCATGTATTCACACTTTAAACCTTCTTAGTGGATTTTTATCAAAGGCTTAGAACATTTATCTCAATATCAAAAGGCCAAAAATAGCTCATTTCCTTCAATTTTAGCAAGACCACCAAGAATCCACAAAACCACAATCGCAAAACTAGTCTAGTACAAACATCCAGATATTAACTTGTCCAAAACCCTCTCATTTCGTTCAAAATGTTATGCATTGATCAATGTTTGATTAAATCCATCAAAAAACCTTAGCAAAACCTTATAAATACCCTTTGAAAAGTTAGAACTAGAAAGGGGAAAGAGGGGAAAATAAAGATACTCTAGTGGTAAAGGTTTAAGAGCTTAGCACAATGATTTTTTTAGCTTTGAAATGGTAGAAATTTGTAGAAGTAAAGTTTTATGAATAAAAGAAAAAAGGCAACAACCACTATTTTGAAGCTTTGAAGATATAAAACTTCTTTGAACTAGCAAGAGATGTTCATGAGACATACCTCTAGCTTTTCATTACATATTTCAATAATGTTTTGAACTTGTTTTGGTGATACATTTTGTTTAGCTTGTGTATTGATTAATGCATGAAAAATTATTTTTCTTTGCTTAATTCTATTGTCGTACGTCACTCGTGCGACATCATGGTGATTTTCATCTTTTTGCTTGATTGGGTTTTTAAAGTCATCACCTAGTATTTAGTTGAAGACTACTAGAAAACCTGGATATACTGATCTTGTTAAAGATTCAAAGGTAAGGGACCAGTTATGACTAGAAAAGGTATTAGACCTCTAACGCACCCTACATGAGATAAGCTACTTTGTGATTTGATGTGATCTAAAAATAAAATATTAGTCAAATTCTAAAACTTTAATAAATTAGTTATTAAATCCTAAAATATATGTAGAAACATGTTCTTATATTTTCATGGGAAATATAACATGATTTTATTTTTCCTTCAAATACTTGATCATATACAAATTAAAACATTAAAT